TTCTCCCTATTTTTAAAATATTTCTCGACATTTCAAATTATTCTCTCTTTTAACACATTTTATGGTTGTCATAAATCTTGAACTTGTTTTATTAAGTGCCTAACTCACCGAGAGCAATAGAATTCTGGGTGGTTCATCCAAGAAGTGCAACCTTTAATCTCCCATTGTCCAGTTCGCTGGAAACTTCTTCGATATCCCCTTTCAATCTCAGTGGAATTGTCTCGTGTCCCCGTGTCCTTTAACTAGTCTTCATTCATTTGTAGTGTTGATCAGCCATACTGGTAACTTCAATTCTAGTAGCTTAAAAATGTCAAAACGTAAGTGTTTGAGCATCAGAGAAAAAAATTTAATTCTTCAGGGAGTGGATAAAGTCTTCAAGAATCTCTTTCCTTGCTTTTTTTTTTTTTTTTTTTTTTTTTTTTTTTTTGATAGGTAAAATATATAAAATAAATATGTATTAATTTACAAAAAGGTGTGAACAATTACCTTTTTTAATATACAGTGTTTATGAATCTAAAATATTGTTTATGTGGTTTGTAATGAAAATTGAAAGATGAACTTTTGTATTGCGAATTTTCCATATAACGAACTTTTTTTTCGGGATTTAGAGATTTCTTTATATAGAGGACCAACTTTAATCAATTTCACGAAGAGTCATTTAAAATCAAGTTTATTCCCACGTCAGAGTAGCAAATTTTTCTTCTTTCTAGAATTTAATTTTTAAAAATGTATCTTTTTCTCCAAAAATGTTTATAGCATGAATACTTGAATGTGTGTTAAAAAATTCGTAGAGGCAGTTCTTCTTTGATAATGCTAGCGTTTATTTACAACATTGCTTTAAATTAATCAAAAACCATTAAGGACTCTATTTTTTTTATAAATAATTATATCCAGTGCTAATGACATACAATTTCTTCGAAATTAACGAATTTTGATTAAGAAGATAATTACGAATCCGTAAAAAAATATATTCTCCTTCACACATAAATTATTAAGTATATCAAGAATCATCCTTAAAATTCTATTTTTCATTTCTTAAAATCCACACTATTTATTACAATAAAGCTACCGAATAATTCATAAAACATTCCTTCGCCTACATTAAAAGCAACTCAAATAACGTTAAGACGAAAAATGAGAGATTTGAATAATTCATATAGAGAATTTGCAACTTGCAGTTTTTTTTCTCCTCACTTTAAAAAGTCCTTTCATTAATATGCTTGAATACAAAAGATCTGGGAATAGTAACCGTTGATATACAAATCAATTTTTACATTGAAGAAGAAGGATTTCTCTCTGGATATAAAGGATTCGTTCCAATTCCAATACCCAGAACCGCCGCGGGATTTTTTTTTTCTTTTTTTCCCCTCTTTAAATCTGTGGAAGTTTCTTTTTGTTTATAAAACATAAAAAAAGGGAAGAAAAATATATACCATGTAACACGGTGCTTTTTGAAAAATATGTAAATGCCACGGAGTGGGTATATTTGAATTTATGCTGTATTCTATTTCTTTGGATCAAGTCATCTTTTTATAAGAGTGTTTTGTTTGTTCTGATGTGTTTTTAGAGTTGCTTACATGAATTTTTTATGCACTTGTTTCGTGTTTGTCTTTCGAAGTTTGTTTTAAGGCTTTTTCTTAGACGGGTTTGTGTTTTTTTTTCACTTGAGGCGTTTTAAAAGTGGAATTTGAAGTAAAGAAAGAAAGACTTTGATATATGTTTTTTAGTTTAAATTGAACTCGAAATATAAATTTTTTTTTCTTTAAAGAAAATCAATGATATCAAATTCTTTGGGAAAAGGTTTGGTTTTTGACGCTTTCAATAAATTTCTTGCAAATGTATGTTAACATCTTTTCTTCTTGTCGCAACCCCCAGATGTAGTTTGGGATACCAAACCATCCGACAATTGCTATAAAAATAATTACTATTATTTCAGACTAATCAATTTATGACGAATTTAAGATTGTAAGCCGAGGGAGAAATCGAATTTAGTTCCCTATCTTAAGCTTATAAGACAATTAATTAAACACTTATCTGCTTTTGATCTGATTGTAGATCTATCCTAGGTAGGCTATATTCCTATTCAAAACTTGTTCTCTCTTACGTCCACGTTTCCGAAAAGAAATTCTTTATTCTCCCTTGAATGATAGCGTAAGGACTTAAGACTAGCACACCAATTGCCAGGGTTTAAATAGCACTCAAGTTAGCGTAAAATCAAGTTCTCTCTACGGAAGGTGGTTTTAAACTCCAACCACATTTAAAGAAGAATTTCCCCAAGAGGCTTAATGGAAGGGCCGCGGATAGAACCCGTCACGTACTGGCTGTTTAATATATTGATTCTTTGTTTATCGACTTTGCTCTCAGAAGCAATAAGAGGGTTAATGCCGACGGGCATCTTAATTTTGAACCGCGATCGAGTGACGAAGACGAAACTTGAGCTGGTACCACATTCTCCAAACTTACACACATACCATCGTGAGGACTTTCAGCCTCCAAAGATTTAGAGTCATCTACACGGTGGATCAATAGCGGTGCTAGGATTCAGCAGGTACAACACCAGTTCACGAGTTCGTATCCGTGACCACACGACCAATACATTCTCTTTAATAATACACTCTGAAATAAGGTAAAGAGGGAGGGGTAGATTTAAGATATATAATTTTATTTCAATTCCTAATATTAGCTTGCACTCTCTATGTATTTATTTATCTTGGTGGAATTTTCAATCGTTAATAAAAAACATTTTAAAGCGCTCAATTGATCTGAAATTTTATATACATGATTATTTTGGATGACAATACAATAATTTAATTATAATTAATAAAAATTAATTGATTAAAATTAACTATTTAAAGAATTACAAATACACAGCCACGTTGGCATCATTTTTGGCGACTTAGCGACCCTTTTGGCGACTTGTGTTAAAACTTGAAAAGGTTTTTTTTCTCACGTTTTAAAGCATTCAGTTGAACTGAAATTTTATATATACGATTGTCTTGGATGACAATACGGTATTTTAATGATAATGAATAAAAATTGATTACCCCTTAATGTTGTGATTCTGTCCTATGTATACATATTTATATTAATTTGTAACTATTTTAAAAAAAAGAGCTAAAATAAAATTTTTCTTCGTTGATGTAAGTAGGAATTGACTTAAAAATTTTTTTTATATATATATATTACTTGTTTTTACATTGTAATTAACTCAGATTAATCATAAGAATTGTCTTCACATGTGTATGTGGATTGAAATAAATTCTACTTGCATAATAGTTTCATACAGGAACATAAAACTTAAGATAACGATTAACACATCAAATAAATAATAAAAGAGTGCAATTCGGTATCACTGAATAAAATCTGATTAGTTCCTTTCGTTTACTGGATGTATTATTATTATTTGCAACAAAAGTATTGAGAAATAAAAGATATGGATGGTTATATGAATGCAAGCACAAGGAAGAGGGGAAAAGAGAGAGGAGGAGAAAAAAAAGAGTAAGAAATGAAGGAGAAAATTAGTGCATCTATTCTAATCTCTCTCTCTCTCTCTTTTTTCATCAGTATAACATAATTTATATCTGATTATAAAAAGAATAATTGTCTTGAAATATTGGGTGGGGGGATAATACATAAAAATAAAGGAAGGATGGAATTTCTAGTTGACAATTTCTTCAGTTTAGATTCATAAGCTTCAAAAGGTGAATCACAAAGAAAACCAGAAACAATAATATAAAAAAAAATTAATTCAATTCCTACTTGGGTCACCAAAGAAAAATTTAAAATTTTATTTACTTTTTATGAAATAGTTTCTACTAATATAAATACGTATATACATATGACAGAATCAAAATATTAAGTGACAAAATAGAAAGCGATTTTCTTTGCAATTTTTCATTTTCCGTCCTATATAGGGTGTTGGAATATTTTTTTTTGTTACTGTTTATTCATGAGTTAAATTTAATTATTCTAATAAAACAGTACGGGAAAAAAGAAATAACATTCTCAGAAATTAGGTCATTCCAAGTGGAATGCGAACCCACGAGCTTTGAATTAGAAGTCCAACGCGCTATTCATTGTGCTACAGGGATACAACAACCGATTTTCCTTTCTATATAGGGTCTTGGACTATTATATTTGTTTACTATATATTCATTAATTAAATAGAATTAACTAGTTAATATTTGAAAAAAACTGTATTCACATCAAGTGTCATCCACTACATAAATCTGTCGAGAGCTGAAACGTCCTCCCGTTGGTGTGGTTTGGTAGTTAGGAGAGGGGGGTGCCAGCTCAGGTGTCGTCCACGTCACTTGACCATGGTTCAAAATTACGTGGTCCGTCGCCAAAAGCCCTCGTGTAGCTGAACAGTGCGACGTTAATATTCAATCAATCAATCAATCAGTCATCCACTACAAGTTTTAAAAAATGTATTTGAACTTGAATGGATGAATAGAGGGTATTTTATTAACAATTTAAAATTTGAACAAGAGTATATATATATAGGGAGAGAGAGAGAGTGAACTAATAGTATAGAAATTGAAAAAAGGCATTACAATTTAATTTGTATTGAGAATAAGAAGACAAAAGCTATAAAAACAAAATTCAGCTATACATCAGGATCGATGTAATTGAATTATATCATTAATTATCATTGAAAGAAATTTTAGCAATCAGCATACGAACAGTCATTTCATATTAATAGATGTACCCACAGCCTTCAGTATTCCAAGCGATATTTTTCATGAATATGCAGATTATTTAACATAATATCCACTTGAAAATGATTCAACAGACGCTCGAAGTCGACAGATTAGAGTACGCCGCAGTCGGACATCATAAATCAGCTTTTTAAACTAGTTTATACAAACAGTAGAATGCATAATCAACTATCATTCTAAAGAAACGTGAAAGATGATGGTTAGAAAAAATAAAGAATTTTTAGCTTCTTTTTATCAGGCCACAGTGGCAATACAAATTTAACTTAATTATATCTTAAATATTGTACCGGGAAAGGAAGTAGAATTCGATTTGTTATATTAAAAACTAGTTCCAGGTTAGATTAGGGATTCCTAATTGAATTCAACCTTAGCTTATATTGAGCATGCATGATATAATGATGGAATCTTTAATTATATTCTAAAATATTAATGACAAAACGAAATTTTGAAAGAGTTAGATGATGTGAAAAAAAAAATCTATGTTATGTTTAGTTTCCCCCTATGTATTTATGTTATTTAGAACAGTTTTTGTCCTCAAAATACCACAAAAAGCTAACTATTGTATACTTTTATGAAAACTTAATAATTCATAAAGTATTTTTAAAATGCTATTCCTCCTACAGTAACTGACGAACACACATAAAATATGATTTACAAGTATTTCGAAGTATTTATAATAAAAGTTTATGTGGGTTTTGTGATAACATTACTGAGAATCGTAAAATACTTTTTTTTTCATCAATGCTAATTGAAAATTTCTTAAAAATGTAAAAATTTTAGATTCGATTATTTTTTTTAAAAAATATTGCTTTGATTAAGAAAATGCGTATCAATGTTAGATGTATTCGTAGCAATAGTTAGAAAAAATATCAAAGCATTATGAGCGCAATAAAATAAAAGCCCTTAGCATATTAAATGAAGATAAACTAGTTATTTTTTTTCTTTTAAAAATCAGTTTAAAGTTTTCATTTGCCATTGGGATGCAAATAAAAACGAACGTAAAACTTATCGTATCTCTGTTTTTATTTTATGTTATAGCTTTCAAATTTTGTGAAATTATACAAAAATATATAAGGCATATATTTCTGCCTTAAAAAATTTAATTTTTTTGGACTGATTTTCATCAATTGAATCATACTGTGTCCCCTTATCCTCTCAATGTAGGATAACTAATCCAGAATATAATATTAATGTTAGAACACTTTTCTATTAGATAACTTTGTTCGATTTTAGGTCCTTTTCTTTCAATTCCTACTATTAGTTCACAGTCTCCGTATAATATATATATATATATCTTGTTCAAATTTTTAATCATTAATAAAGTGCTTTTTATTCATCCATTCAAGTTCAAATACATTTTTGTAAATTTGTAGTGGATGACACTTGATGTTAATACAGTTTTTTGAAATATTAATCCATTAAATAAATTTAATTAATGAATAAATAGAGTAACACACAAAAATAATTGCCCAACACCCTATATAGAATGGAAAATGAAAAAATTGCAAGGAAAATCGCTTTCTATTTTGCCACTTGATATTGTGATTCTGTCATATGTATATACATATTTATATTAATTGTAATTATTTAATAAAAAGTAACTTAAGTAAAATTTTTCTTTGTTGACCTAAGTAGGAATTGACTTAATTTTATATATATATTATTTGTTAACATTACAACTTAAATCACTCTTAGCAGTCCAATGACCATTCAGATTAGGCGACACAATCGGGCGCGTGCCAAATTGGAATGTGTCGAAACTGGTCATCCCCTCTAATCCATCCCTCGCATGCCCCACGCCGAAAACATTCTTTTTTTATCCACTTTCTCCCACCTTTAATTCTCCCCCACATGTTGCCTGCAGCAGCAGCAGCAGCCAAGTGCCACCAGCTCTTCTGTCTGCAGAATGAAGATTAATGATTTGAGTAGACGATCGAGATTGACAGACCCTGGCTGTGTTAGATCCTAAATGGTGACAGGGAGATCTGCCAGGAGGGCGATATTGCCCAACTCCTTCGTATTAGTTGGGGACACACAAAAGAACACAGAACAGTGAAGAGTGTCACGGTTTATCCGGGAAGAAATGAAGTGGATTTTTCAAGTGCTGTATGCGTCTGCCTCCAAAATGGTTTTCTCCGGATTCGGATGCCTTTTTTTTTTATTGAAGTGGTGTTGTAAAGTCTGTACCAAGGGGTGAGGGACTCTTAAATTGGATTATTTCCAATATTGAATGCGTTTCTATTTCGTGACAATACTCTGCGATGAGTCACCTGAAATGTAAAGTGCCATTATGCCACAACGTGTGGATAATATTGGAAATCAGCACTTAAAATATTGTGTCATCGCTTAAGTTTTGTTGTCTTTCAGTTTAGTTAATATTCTATCTCCCCCCCCTTTGGCCTAAAAATGGGGGCTTTTCCTCTTGAGCTGATGTATGTTAAAGCACTTAAGAGTCATGTAATACCGGATATTAGTTTTTCTGATGAAGCATTTCCTTTTTGGATATTGTCAAAATGTTTGAGTTTCTGAATATTTATCACACTCTTGCATCGTTCATGTACTTAGTACTTATTTGTATCTCAAAATTTTATTTGTTTCATTCTTGAGTTTACATAAAAATTAGGAATAAGTTTTTTACTATTTATAATTATGTGCAATGTATGTTGATTTCTTCTTTCAAAGCTAACAGAAAAGGATTCTAGAAAACAAGTTTATATAAGTTCAGAATTTAAACAGTGGTTTTTTAAAATGTATAAAAATAAAGAAGTAATTATAGTTTAAGAAAATGAATCATACAGGCACATAAACGAGAAAAAAAAATATAACTGTTTAAAGCTATCAAAAATGAAATAGTTTTCAACATTGAAATTCCTTCTATAATATGCTTAACTCGAAGGGTTTTTTTTAATAAAAATGAAATATTTTTGGAAATTCTTCAAATTTTTCAAAAGATTATGAATATTAAATAAGTAACTTTTTTGTAATTTTACAGATACATAGAATTATTTTTATACCAAGTAAATTAATATTTTCAAAAATGTGCTTACAAATTTGAAGCATATTCTCTCTTACAAAGATTATTAGTGATATTGCAATAAGCTAGATAATTTAAGCATTCCTAACACACTTCCAAACAATTTGTTAAGTTTTCTGACTGATAATATCTCATTCATTAAAAAAAAATTAAAATTCTAAAAGAATTTTTCGTACAAAATTTAGGTATTTTATTCTTTTTTTAAAACTTTCCACATAATTACATACAGCTTACATAATTCAGTATTCATAATGTAATATTATCAATGTCCACACAGTAAAAAGAAATGAAAATCAGGGTTTCTTATACATCTAATTCTTTTTTTAAAAAATTTAAATTATTATAATCTGGTTTATTTTTTAACTGATCTTATTAACTTGATGCTTTTTTAAAATAATGTATTTTACAAAATAATACTTAGAAGTCCAATCCTACTACTTTTAATACTAAAATACAAAAGATTTTTTTTAAAAATCTTAATTTTTTTTCGTCAAAAAATATGCTGTTATAACTCAATATCACAAAAAGAAAAGAAAAATCGTTTCTTCTCTATAAAGTGTTGTCAGTTTGAAAATTGTTCAAGAACTATTCCAAGCGGTACTTAATTAAGTTCTC